GGGTGGCCACCAGCACCCCCTCCTTGTGCTCCGCTGGGGCCAGCAGCTGCGCGGGGTGGTTGGGACTCGCTGGGTACGAGTGGTCGGCTGCGTCTGATGCATAAGATCTACGGCACAAGAAAACCCAATGGTTGTACTCCTGGGAGGGGGGCCAGCTGGGTTGGGGGATCAGGTGAAACATGGGTTTGGGAGTATTTTGGGGTTGAAACAATGAAACAAAAAATGGTCACAAAAATATAGATGTACAAGAAAGCAGAGGGATAGTGGTGGGGAGGACACCAACCCAGCTGAACCAAGCTCTTCCCTCAGCTGCTAAATGGAAAGTGCTCCGACTTTATCCCAACACAAAGACTGCTCCCGGGGTCCAGGATGTGACCCTGGGGACACCAGCTGTCCACAAAGCTACTGTGGGTTTATAGCTTATCATCCCAACCTTCCTGTGGGCAACACGTCCCCCCCCAAAAAATGGAGAAGAGAAAAGCAAAGGAGAGCTGGTGAACTAAATGCATAGGAGGTAAAACCTGCCTATTATCTGGGGACAGTGATCCTTCCGATGACGCCATGTGATAGGGGGATGGTGAGAACCTGTTATCTGGTCGGAACTCTTTATCATACGCCATCATGTTCCACTCCAGGCGTCGGTTTCGGGCTTTCCTCACTTTCTTCACCTCCCGGGTGGAGTCCTCCACCAGCCGCTGCTCCTGGGGAGACACACAAGCCACAGCTCCATCTCCAGCCCAGCTCCTCCAGACCAGGAGGGGTACCTAGGGAGCATCATCCAGCCCTGCAAGATGCACCCACCCCAATGGGGGGAGCACAAAGGACGCACCAGGAAGGTGACCATCCCCCAGGTCCCCAGCAGCCCCAGCTCCAGCCCCCCAGTGTCCCCCACCTGCCCGTTACCTTCTGCCTACGCTTCTCCTTTCTCTTATCTTCTGTTGCCTGCAACATTTTCTCCTTCCATAAGTTGAAGAAGTAGGAGGGGTCAGTGTAGAATTTGAGGCCATCCTTTTTGTCATCCCTAGGGGGTAGGGAAGGGAGGAGAGGGGGTTATTAGCCACAGGAGAACACCTTGCTTCCCCTGCCCCTGCACAGGAGGGTTTGGTACAATCACAGCCATAAGCTGTTGCCCCACCATGAACATGTCCAACGCAGCAGTCACTACCTGCCAGTGGTCACAAAACACTGCAGGGGGTCACTTGTCCCATGTGCCCTATACAATGGGGATGGTGGCACACCAACTGGAGAAGACAGCCTCTAAGCTCTCACCAAGCTGCAAATGGGGTGCACCCCTTGATGCCTCTCCTGGCAAGACCCCCCAGGACTCCCTCGATCCCCCAAGAAGCGATGTGCCTACCTGTAGGGTGTGAGGATGTTGAGTGGTGGGGGCTTGTCGCAGCGCTGGTACATCTCCATCACCGGATTGGGGATGGAGTTGCGAGACACGACCTGCTGGTTCTGCACCGTGGAGCTCTTGAAGGCTTTCCGCATGTTGATGTCCTGCAATGAAACTGGGGGCACAGGAAGAAGATAGGATATAGGGGTGACTTCAGCTCCCTGAACCAGGCATGGCGGGTGGTGCGGCCTCAAGCACACATCACCCACCCACTCACACCTGACCATCACCCCGAAATAACCCCAGCCCCTCACCTTCCTCCACGGTGGAGTCCAGCTGCGTCACCTTGATGACCAGCAGGTCCACCCTCTCCTGCAGTGAGTTCATCCTCATGTAGAAACTGTTGGCTTCGTTGAACAGCTCACCAAAGATGTCCTCTGCGTGCCTGCCTGGCAGAGGGCAACAGGCACCCGTCACAGGCAACTTCAGCAGGTGGGCAGCCCCCTCCCAGCCCCTCACCTGGACCGCACGCATCCCCACTGGCTCCTGGGGGTCCCTCTCCAGCCTCGGGTTTTGGAGACCTGAGCCTCATCCTCTCCCAGACCCGGCAAAGCACTGCAGGGAGGGCGGGGAGCACAACCCACCCTTCTCCTGGCCCCTCCTCCATGTATGAGCATCCTTTTCAGTGGGAGCTGTACCCATGGGAGGCACTGAACCATGGTGGGCTATGCCCTGAAAAGCCTTTGGGTCTACAGGGGAGAAGCAGCCAAAAAACTACCATCACACAACACGACCTGTGGAAACCCAGCCCTTCAGGTCGAAAACAGATTATGTGAGGGCTGGAGCAGCTCTGCTGTGAGGACAGGCTGAGAGAGTTGGGGCTGTTCAGCCTGGAGAAGAGAAGGCTCCGGGGAGACCTTCTAGTGGCCTCCCAGTACCTGAAAGGGCTCCAGGAAAGCTGGGGAGGGACTTTGGACAAGGGCAGGGAGTGACAGAACAAGGGGTGATGGCTTGAAACCAGAAGAGGGGAGATGGAGATGAGATGTGAGGAAGGAATTCTTTGGTGTGAGGGTGGTGAGACAGTGTCCCAGGTTGCCCAGAGAAGCTGTGGCTGCTCCTCCCTGGAAGTGTTCTCGGCCAGGCTGGATGAGGCTTTGAGCAACCTGGTCTAGTGGAAGGTGTCCCTGCTGCTGGCAGGGGGGTTGGAACTGGATGAGCTTTTGAGCTCCCTTTCAACTCAAACCAGTCTGGGATTCTGTGGAAACTGGGAGCGGGACAGCGGGGTGAGGGCTACAGCTGGGAGACACTGGGATTGGTTCCATGGTAGCAGTTCATGTCCTGCAGTGCTCAGTGCATCCATTGCTCTTTATTAAGACTGTTATCACAGGTCTGAGCAGGGTGCCTGGCAGAGCATTGCTGACACCTGCAGGCTACAGCACCCATCCCATCCCAGCACCCCAGCTCCTCAGGGTTTCCTCCAAAGCCTTGTATCAAATGGCTCCCAAGATCAAGGTGCTTTTGATATCTGCTCAGCCTGTCACCTGGCTCAGCCATTTGTATTTGATTTGCTTTTTTTGAATTTGATTTTCATGGGCGCTGCTCACGCCAGCTGCCGTGTTCCCAGCTGCTCCCTAAATACAGGGTTTGTTTTTTCTGGGAGTATTTTAGAGAAGAATCTCGTTCTGGAAGGGGGAAGAAGAGTGAGAGCCCTAAAGAGCCTGTGCTTCTCTCTCTATTTTAAGTCGATATTCAGCAGCGAAACAGGTTGCCCCTATGAAACCTTCACACTGGTGTGCACAATGCTCTCGATCTCCTCTTTTCTGTTGAAATCAGTCCCAGGGCAGGAAGACAGACAAGGATTTAGACCTTTTCTATAGACCTCTCTTTTGCATAAAGCTTTAAGATTAAAAATAACAGGTTGGGGTTTTTTAATCTTTGCCTGACATTCCTATTTCTGGCCAAGCCAAGAAGCAAGGGGCTCGTGAAGGTTTTCCATTCCCCACCACATCGACTAGCTATGGGGGGAAAACAGGTCTTAAAAATGTCACCAAGTCCCCACTTTGGGCTTGGCCCTGAGCATCCTCCTTTTTTTATAATTCCCACTGAATTAGGGGTGGCTGAAGCCACCATAACCCCTGTTTCTCAGTGACTGGAAGCAGAGCAAGTGACCACAGCATCCCACCAGCACCCCACCACCCTGTTCCATGCTGGAGTCACTGTGCCATGACTTACTGAGGCTTCCCAGCTGCTTGATGATGGCAGCCAGCGTGCTGTTGGTGACACACTCCAGCTCACTCGTCACCCCCTCAGGAAGAGCACCCCGGCAAAGGTGCCGGGGCTCGATATTCCTCTTCACCAGCGGCATGCTGCTGAGGAGCCCTCACGTCTCTTCTGGCCAAAGGAGAAAGAAAGAAAGAAAGAAAGAAAGAAAGAAAGAAAGAAAGAAAGAAAGAAAGAAAGAAAGAAAGAAAGAAAGAAAGAAAGAAAGAAAGAAAGAAAGAAAGAAAGAAAGAAAGAAAGAAAGAAAGAAAGAAAGAAAGAAAGAAAGAAAGAAAGAAAGAAAGAAAGAAAGAAAGAAAGAAAGAAAGAAAGAAAGAAAGAAAGAAAGAAAGAAAGAAAGAAAGAAAGAAAGAAAGAAAGAAAGAAAGAAAGAAAGAAAGAAAGAAAGAAAGAAAGAAAGAAAGAAAGAAAGAAAGAAAGAAAGAAAGAAAGAAAGAAAGAAAGAAAGAAAGAAAGAAAGAAAGAAAGAAAGAAAGAAAGAAAGAAAGAAAGAAAGAAAGAAAGAAAGAAAGAAAGAAAGAAAGAAAGAAAGAAAGAAAGAAAGAAAGAAAGAAAGAAAGAAAGAAAGAAAGAAAGAAAGAAAGAAAGAAAGAAAGAAAGAAAGAAAGAAAGAAAGAAAGAAAGAAAGAAAGAAAGAAAGAAAGAAAGAAAGAAAGAAAGAAAGAAAGAAAGAAAGAAAGAAAGAAAGAAAGAAAGAAAGAAAGAAAGAAAGAAAGAAAGAAAGAAAGAAAGAAAGAAAGAAAGAGAAAACACACTGATTTTGCCATTTGCTTTACCCCCCCGCCCCATTCCCTCTGCTCTCTGCCTGGGACACTCATCCTGCCAGCACCGGGACACGGTGGCAGCAGGGTTTTTCCACTCAGGGGATGCTCTGTGGGTGCAAAGATGTCACCAAGCACACAGATGCCAGGATGGAGATGAGGACCACGCCAGGATCCTGTCCCCATCCTTGTGCTCCGCTGACAAGCCACTGTGCCCAGGGAGTCTTTCCCACTCACCATCCCGGAGCCACACTCAAGCCAGGAGCAAACCCTGACATGCTGCAGCCCTTCAGCTGGCCCCAAAAAGCCTCTCCTGACCTAAAGAGCGACCAGAAGCGAGCAAGCGCTGGTAATGCCATTATTTCCAGCTCAGTGCAAAGCTCTCCGGGGTTTTATTTGTGCAGGAGGCAAGCTGCCATGGCCAGCTCTCCCGGCTCTCTGCCTGATCCCCCCGCCCCGCTGCCATCCCCGCCTGGATCAGGGATGGTTTGTCTTCTACGGGGCTCAAGGAGATGTAGGGAGATGTCTGCACCCAATGGCCCCATCCCCAGTGAGAGCACCCATGGGAGCTGGGGAGGAAGGATGGAGGGTGGGGCGCGGGGGGAGTGCTGGGGGGAGGTTACCCCACTGGTGTAAGGCGAAAGTGGTGTAAAACAGGCTGAGAAAGGAGGAAAAAAAAATAAAAAAGGAGTGTTTATTAACCACGGTGGTGTCTCCTGGGGTCCTGCAGCCTGGGGCTGGGACACAGACAGGTACAAAGCAGGCAGTGACCCCACAAGGCTTGCACAAGGGGGTCTTATGAGACACAAGTGTGTCAGGCCTCAGCTCTGCTCCCAATGCAAAGGCAAACTTTAGCAAATTTTAGCATTGAAAACACCACAAAGCAGAGCCCAGGCTGATAAGGACCAAAAAGCACCAACAGCCCAGATCCTGGATGCAGTGAGCTGAATCCCCCGTTTCACATCCTGGGCACCCCCACCCCACACCCCATCATTCACCAAACCCTGCTTTGCTTTGCTTTGGCAGGGAAGGAAAACCAGTTTCTGAGCAGAGCTGTCAATAGCTGGGAGTGGAGCAGTCGGGCACCAACAACAGAGCCAGCAATCCTGACCATGAACGGAGCCAGAAATCTGCAGAGTTCACATTTTTTGGCCCTGGCAGTGTTAGACAGAACAGTTTCCCATTGATAGCGCCCGGACAGTGCTCCCCAGCCATACGGCCAGCTCGTCCGGAGTTTTCAAATGCAAATGCAAGCTCCTTCCATGAAAGAACCCAAAAAACTGTTTCTAAATCATTCATGTTCCCAAAGAGCTGATTGTGCTCCCAGATAGGGTGGGCTGGAGCAGCTCTGCTGTGAGGACAGGCTGAGAGAGTTGGGGCTGTTCAGCCTGGAGAAGAGAAGGCTCTGGGGAGATCTTATAGCCGCCTCCCAGTACCTGAAAGGGCTCCAGGAAAGCTGGGGAGGGACTTTGGACAAGGGCAGGGAGTGACAGAACAAGGGGTGATGGCTTGAAACTGCAAGAGGGGAGGTTTAGATTAGACATTAGGATGAAATTCTTTGGTGTGAGGGTGGTGAGCCAGTGTCCCAGGTTGCCCAGAGAAGCTGTGGCTGCTCCTCCCTGGAAGTGTTCTCGGCCAGGTTGGATGAGGCTTTGAGCTACCGGGTCTAGTGGAAGGTGTCCCTGCTGCTGGCAGGGGGGTTGGGACTGGATAAGCTTTAAGGTCCCTTCCAACCCAAACCAGTCTGTGATTCTATGATCTGTCCCTGTGGGGTGACTGGCTGGGCTCCGCTCTGCCCCGGGGTAATCAGGGTGTCATGGGATGGACCCCAGCCCTGAACTCTCCTTGGGGTCACACGATGCTTTGGGCTCAGAGCAAACCCATCGTTCTCCTGCACTTCCGAAAGTCACCGTACATGGATGGTGGGGCTGGTAGTGTCCCTGGCTCCCAAAAAAGCCAAGAGGTTTCTGCTGGCTGGTTACATTTCAGCTGAAAAAAATGGAAAGGAGCATGCGAGGGAGGCTCTGGGTACTTGCTGATGGATATCTGCTCTGGCCATGTACAACTCCCCTTTCTGGGCACCCGCTGAGCCCCCCCCAGACTTCATAAAGAGATGAGCAATGCTGGCAGCTCCACCTCAAGCTTGCTTTGAGCTGGTTTTACGTGTCACCCCAAAATCCATACCTAAAGGCTGATCCCTAGCACGTCCCCCCAGGGAGCGGCTGCCTGGACACAGGGCAAGGGGCAGAGCGGTTTACGAGCTGCTTGCGCCCAGCAATTAGAAACAAGGAACAAAGACCCATTCTCAGCATCCGCCTGGGACACGGCCACCAGCATCCGTGGCTTTTTGTCCCCAGACAGGGGGTCTGCGAGGAATTGGGGCCACCCATGCCTTCATCTCCCATGGGGACCCCAGAGGGGAATCAAGAAAAAGGGGATTTGAGGTCTGAAACACTGTCCCAGCAGGGACAGTCCCGAGGACAGGCAGAAGGTGGGTAGCTAGTCTGGTAACAGTGTTTGACACCATGCCATGGGAGAGCAGCCCTGGAGAAGAGAGATGCCTTTAATCTTCCCCAGAAAAGCCTTAACAAGACTCAGAGCTTGCAGCAAGAGAAACTAAGGAGGAGTAAGCACACACGTTTATGCCAGGGTAGCTGGGACAGGCAGCTTTGGCCACGCCACAGGAGAAGCTGCTTTTCAACCTGCCCAATTAATCTCTGCTGACAGGAATAGAGGGATGAGAAACCCTTGCCATCCCATCCTGCAACAAGTGCCATCACAACCTGCTGCAGCAGCATCCCTTGTGCACTAGTGGCATCAAACCTCTGACTTATGGGTGGAAAACCCAACTTCTGACCTAAAACCCACCATCTCAAGACCTGTCCTGACTCAGGGGTGGGGACATGCGCAGAACACTTTGGGTGGGGATGGGCTACACGTGACCCTTCAGACACCAACTTCATTTGTGTCCTCACTGATGTGTCTTGCTCACACCTACCAGAGGCTGCACACAAATCCTGAGCACTGGTGGCTTGGCCTCAAGGGATGCTCAGTTATGACCAGTGCTGCTCCTGCTTGTGCTGGTATTTCAGACAATTTCCAAGCCTTTGAAGGGGTGATTTTGGTGACAGGTCCTCAGACCTTCAGGAAAGGGCTCCTAGGAGCAGGGATCTGCTGAGCACGGAAGTGACTCCCTGGTGTAAGGAGAAGCCTGAACATGGACAGAGTTGGGCCAAGAGCAACTCATGATTTCTTCCAGGCAAATGGCCATACTGGACCCCACCTCAGTGCTCAGCACCGTGGGCCACCACTAACACATAGCATGTACCAGACTCAGTAGCACCTGCTGTGACAGCCCCAGTGCAGCCCAACTGGGCATCCCCATGCAACCAGTAAAGCCAGATCTGGGCAGCTGCAGGGCCAACTTGCCATCTTTCCAGGGGCACTACCAGCCCTTGATGGCCCTGAGCAGCCTCACCTGGGACACACACCCCCACCATGGGCCCAGGAGGTTATTTAAGCTCAGCTGGGGGTATTAGCCCTGTTCAGGGGATGCTGCTGGTTTCCAGCACTGCTCCTGGCTGTGCCTCACTGGACCTCACTCCTGCAAGCAGCTCCTGCCCCAGGTGGGTCCCTTGGGTGGGTGCTGGCACTTGGGACAAGTCCTGGCTTTGGCATGATCTTCAGGGTGGGTGTTGGATCTGCATCACAGCCTTGTTGTTGTCCCTGTCCCCTTTAGCTCCTGCCTACTGGTCGCTTGATTCTGGGCACATCTGGGGCTGCCTGCTCTGCCTGCTGCTGGCCAGCCCTGGGTGGGGGTGATGGAGAGCTCTTGTGCTGAGGACACCCTGGGCTCCCACTCGCCTTCCTACTCACTTAGTGTGCGCTGTGATGACCTTGTCCTTGTGCTGCAAGAGCACAGCTGAGGTGGAAGCAGTTGGGGAGGGGGGGGGAAAGTTGATCAGGTTGGGCAGGTGGGATGTCTGGTCTCGGTGTCTGTGCTTAGGTTGGACATCAGGAAGGGTTTTCCACCTTGCTGGCTGCTCCAGGTTTGGTAGAAGGTGTCTGACCCTGTGCAGGCAGCCCTGGGCTGGGCTCTGCTGTGAAATGCCTGCTCTGGCAGAGAGGGTGCAAAAAGGAGTCCCTCAAATCCTTGTTGGTGATGGGTGCTTGTATGTGGGGATGAGCTCTTCCCTTCCTGCTCTGCTCCCACCCTCCTTTTTGACTGTGACTCAGGAAACATACCAGCCCTTGAGGCTTTGGGTCTTTCTTTCCTCCAAGAGTGCATTAGGAGATGCAGTTTTGTGTCCAGCCACTGTTTCTT